TTAGAAATTATTTATACATCTCCAATCATATAATTTATCTCGTGGCGTCCTCCTTCGACGTTCACATTCACAAGGTTAATATATACAGTTGGTACAAAAAATTGCGTTCATATTCAGAATCGAGAGGTGTTCATAAAGGAGGAGTGCAAATACAGCAAAAATTGCTCGGTCGTCTCAGAGGGTGTTCAGTTAAACAGGATGTTCATAAAGGAGGGGTGTTCAGAGAGAGAGGTTTTACTGTATGTTATTTCATTTTATAGATTGTTCTTATCGATTGACAATATGACTGATCCAGATCGTTTCACATTAATTATGAAATGTTTGCCTGGTATTGTTCGACAAATAGTACGACAAACACCATCCTATTCGGAAGGTCAGACTTATGTATTACCTTTATTGAAATCTATATTGCCTGGTATCGATTCAAATGATTTGGAAAAGATAGAAGTTACTTTGGAAGTTCTTGATGCTATTCTTAAACTAGTTCCATGTATTGATTGTTCATCGGCAGTTAACACGCGCACCGATCTTACAGAAGTAATACTCTCATTTCTTCTAGGCTCTTGTAAACATTTGTATAGATTGAAAAACAAGCATGTTTATCAACAGCGCAATTTGAAGATTTCGTCACTGATTTTCTCAATCGAATGCTTCACATGATTTCCCGACGATCGATTGAAATATCCGATGCTGTTGTAGATAACAGCGAGATCAGTCAGGACGATTCATTTATACAAATCAAGTTAACATCAATAGTATCCAGCATTGTTCAACAATGCAGCAGTAAAATTTTTCAAGTATCTACAAATTCAAATCAATAATGGAGAGCAAATATATTATAAATATTAGTTTTCAAAGTGTTTATCTCGCTATAGCGATACACTCAAATATTATGAGATTATAGTGATCGTAGTATTTCTACCACTTGATATAATTGACCATGATCATATATTCTTCAAGGCAGTCGATTCCCTTTTACGAGATTGACAATACTAATTAGAAAATGTACTGAATATGTATGCAAAGATAGTCAGAAAAATATTATGACAAAACTTAGGTCTTTGAAAAATTTGAAAAAAAAGTTATATTTGTAGTCTAGATGTCTTGTTTTGAGAGAATCTATTAGTATTTACGATTCATTTTCTTCTACTTGTAAAAAACCGAAGTTTATTCTAAATCAACTGCATATGGCTTTTAACTTAAACAAAAATATATAAACTATTAATGTCTTATGTTAAAAAATAATCAATCATTATATTTTTGGAA